TGTTTGGCACTACAGTACTGTACAGCGGAAAAACATCGCATTAATTAATAAGTTATTGTTCTATGGTTAGAGGAGGTGTGGCATAGTTATTGTTAGAGTATAATACAACATAGGATGGAGGTGTGGTATGAGTGCTGAAAGCTGTGAAATCTCGAACACGTGACCATTAAGAGCTCAAATGTTGGACTAATTTCCTGTTAGCCTTCTACTTTTTTCGTCGTCTTTATATTGTATTTCTTCATCAGTGATCCTTCTATTTTCCAATTAATGGATTACCCTTGTAAAGTTGCAGTAAATAGCGTCCAGCAGCCTACTTTCCTATAGACAATATACTATTATCATGATTAATATTAAAACATGGTAAAGACTATGATTATAATCAGGTTAGCTATGGATTAAGTCGGCTTTTAAATAATGCCGTTTTACGCTCGAGGCTATTTTTGAGCAGCATCAGGGGTAGCGGAGTCAATGCCTGTATACAACGATTGTAAGTGATAGTTTGAGATCGAAAAAGCACAGAAAAATACGACACAGTATTGATTTAATTATGCAACTCCGTATATAGGCTAGAGGGAGAAGGATAATGATAGGCAATGTATAACATATATACAACTTGATTCAATTTGCAGTATTCATAGCGTATCTCATTTATATTTTGAGGGTTAATGAGTGGATATGTGTCAGGGATTTTTTATTCCCTTCGTAGAATAGGATAATGATATCCCAATCCAATCTCGAACGTAAGAAAGGGCCAACGTACTATAGTGTATCATTATTGCAGATACTTGTTGCATAGCATATGTATTAATCAAAAAAGTTCAAAATTTGTTTAGTGCAATATTTAGACGAGAATAGTTTTTGTTTGCAGTGAAATTAAAATGTCAGATGGACCCATATGAATCTTCTTGCGTAGACCTGTATTGTGTCTATGGGATACATTTTATTGCTTTGCTACTTGAATCCTAGAATCACAATGAAGGTACTCGTGATCTAGAATTGATTATAAACCTCACTTACTGTACTTTGAATTACTGTAACCTTTTATGACCTTTCTGCTATTAGAGTGATTAATAATCTCATACACTTGCAAATGATCCAAGTATCTCTTCCTAGAATAATTAGAAATGTAAACTTGAACAGTCTGTAGATATGCGAAATAAACAGCCATATTGCTATTTAAATCAAGATTAAATATTAGTTGCGTCTCTATTATACTTCCAGTAAATGATTTTTGTTTGAGCGCGTAATAAATCTGCTGCTTTTTTATTTTCCAAAAATTGTAATCATGAACAGTTCGTGTAGAACAGCTTATTGCGGGGTTTTCGTCAACAAAAAATCTCTCCAATTAGCTTGTTTACGATCTGAAGGTCATAAACAAGAATTATAATTTTTGAAAACATCGATTAACCTACTGGTACATCCTTTGGATTAACAACCTAATCACACTTGGACTTGTTATTGCTAATTGTAAACAACTCTATAATGTTGACAACGGTAGTAATACATACATTATAATCATTGTAGATTAATAGGGTAGGCTTTTAAAAATGTGATAAAATAGTGTTACCAACTATCGGTCTTTGTATCAAAGAATAATACTACTACTACTTACTGTTTATTTTCTTTTATCTTTATGGCTATGACTTGTTGCTAATATAGTTGGTCGATTTTGTTTATTTAAGTATTTAATGTTCCAGATAAGTTATGCACAGTGATTAATCTCCAAATAAGTTCCAAAAAAAACGAGAACTTTATTTGGAAGCTTCCATCTACACAATGCTAGCTCTTTTCAATATTTTCATCTGAGGATGAGTCATACGTATGTCTTCTGATTTTATACTAAAACTACTGATTTTCTAATTTAGGCTAAAATAAACTCTATTCATAATGTTTACGCCTTCTATTCGCTGAAACTCTCTAGTACTTGGATGAGATAATTGATTATATCAAGAGGGATGCCAGTTTTGTCAGCCCAGCTCCTGTTTCATACTAAAATAACTATCAGTAATTTTCTGTATAGACAAACGATAAAACTTTATTCTCAGATTTCTCCCCTTCTAGTTTTACATTAGATGATCTAAACCAATTTAGTACGGCAAGGACGATAAAATCACTATCTGAACCCAAGGAAGGTAAAAAAAAACTATTACATTTCATCCTCCGAATTTGCTGCATTAACTGTCTGTAAATACTTTAATCTTCTGTATAAGCTGTAAGAAAGGTTCATTCTTTAAGCTAACGCCAAATTGTAATTATCGAAGCTAATTAGTAGAGCGAAGATCTAAGTTAGAGTCCTTAATCTGACAATATGTTTTGGCCAATAAACAAAAAAATTAACAGATATAAATAACACTGTAATTTTAAAATTGATCATAGAATAATTATCTAAATAGTTATTCAAGTTAATAACACGCTCAAAATCTGGTCATAGACAAGATAGGAATAAAATATTAGCAATTGTGTGTTGTATTACAGTTGCAATCTTGCTGCTCTTGGCTACCAGGAGCTTGATTTCATCAAGATCTGACGTAAAATATTGGCACCAAGGCAACTGCAATAACTATCGGTTTATAATGTTAACACAAATGATTATTCAAGACAGAGATATGAAATTGTGATAAAATTGCCATATTACTAATGAGAGAAATTTGACTACCTTTAACTATCAAAATCTTAAAATCATTAAAATGTGACTTAAAAACTATAGCAAAAATCATTTTTATTCAAGACATATACGCTATCCTGAAAATACAATTGATGTCTAGTTTGTTTGGAACATAGTCAAAATGAACCGATAATACTATGTACTAGATGTGATCCAGTTACTATTCATACAAAATGTTATGTAGCCTACAAATTCCTTTTAGAGGTCTGTAACGACGGCATTAATAGCTTTGACAGCAACTAGCTCTTCTATTTTAAGACTTTAAAGTTGAGTAAGATTTCATAGATTTTGTATCCTACCTTTATTGTCTGTTACCATATTGGCTTCTTTCGATAATTATTATTTTATAGCTACGGTAATAATGACTACATGTATCAATAAGCTTCAGGTAGATTAAATTTGACTATACGATATTGCAAACATATGGGATAAATTTTACCCTTTGATGAGCTCTTATGACATACAGTATTGATTGATTTAGGTATTGAACAATACAAGGATTCAAATTATTTAATAAGGTAATTCCCACCCTTTTTACTACTGTGTAAATAAACATTGTATAAATTACCGTATCGCCAAAGCCACGACGTGAAAGTGGTAAATTAACATGAAGAATAAAATCATCAATTATAGATAGCAAATTATACGTACCGTTACTTAAAGTATGAAAGAAAACAATCTTTTACAAGCTATAGATTGTGAAAATAAATTTTAGATGGCAATCAACGCACGAAACAATATAACTTTTCAAGATATAAAGTGTAAAGCAAGCTTATCATGATAAATATACGATTATTTTGTAATTTATCGGATTTGATCCTACCAGAAAATTTTTTTCTTTTATATACAAATTCTATATGGATACAACTATTTTATCAATTAGTAGCAATGAGGCAATCAATTTACCAAAGTAAATACCACTTTTCGACTGGCATCAATTACATTATCGAAATCAAAATCTGATTTCTAAATGCACATGACTAGAGTTTTAAAATCTGGATTAAGATGTTATGCAAATATTATTATATGATAATAATTGTAGCAGCATGAACCATTCTAGAAAGGACTTAGGTGCTAGGAGCTCATAATGTAGGTCCACGTTACTTAACATAAATGTGAGGAATCAAGATTTTATTAGTACTTTAGAGGGCGATGAGTTACCAGTATGGTAGGTATAGCAGTTTGTCAAATTTTAATTCTCCATAACACTATGTAAAAAATAATTACAATACAGTATGTCTGTTTCCAACACTTAAATATTGAACCTTTACGGTAATTCTTTGGTTATGTGGATTAATTAATTGGTTCATTGTTTCATTTTTTATTAATCTGCTGAAGTTAATACTGGCATTCGTTATAAGTGAGCTATTTCACGGATTTGATCAACTGCTGAGTGCATTTCATTCAGTATCCTTATAAATTGTATCTATTATGGGTCTGAAGCGAGGACTTTAGCAGGAGATACGCAACATCAGTTAGGCTAGAATTGTTACCGGACCATCGTTATTACTTGCATAATTTTACAGGTATGTATAGCTAAAGCTTCGTTTCTTTTGGGTTATTTGAAGTCTTAAGCATAGGAATGAAATGACTTGTGATACACTATATGTGAATGGAGTAGTCAAATCTTAGCTTTAGCTGTGTAAAATTGTAGCTGATTAGAAATAAAATTTATTTATATAATACAATAGATCGATTAATAATAAACTCCTCAATTTGTCTTCAGAATCTATTTATCATAAGCAATAAACGGGATTGAAACGAGTCATTAATTTTTTTCGGAGGTATCCAGAATAAGATGCATAATCATACATTTAAAAAGATAAATAGATAAAATTAGTTATGTATTGCCCATGTTAATTTATGTTGCTTCTTACAGTACTGATATATTTAACCCAGTCTTGTAGATACGTATGTTGTGACTTTGATGTTGTAACAGATACATTATCAAATACAAAATATTGGCAATGATGGTACGCATTACTGATTGTAGCTCTGATAATGATAAATGGTAGATAGCATCACAAATTTTGATTAAATTACAATATTAATAAAATTAAAGCTTATAAATAATAAATTACTATCATAGTACTGGTAGTTTAAGAACATCAATGTGCCTAGTTAAAAAATTTCAACTCTATTTGTGGTATTTGTTTTCCATGGGGTGCAATAGGTGAATAAGTTCCATTGCTAAAGGTGCAACGGACCACCACGGACCATGTCTTCTCATCATTTCAAGCTTTAATAGTACTAAAACAAAGAAATTGAGCAATTTTTCAGTGATTAGCTTGAATTTTATTGACTGTAATAAGAATATCAAAATAACAATTGTTTACATTTTATAAATATAATTTTCTATTTTGTAATCTAGATTACATAATTTTCTATTTTGTGATCTAGATTATATAATTTTCTTAAATTTTTCAGATACAGTATATCATACTTTCACTTTTGTTATTTTCCAAAATTTTTGGCAATTGCTGTAATAGTGAGTATAAAATGGATAAGATTTCAAATTCGCCGTTTCTATCAAGCCAACACTGTTCCGGGTATAAGACCACAGCGAGATCGTATGTATTACATATTTGTTATCTAGTAACGAAAGAATAGTACCTTGCTCTTCTTGACAATTTCTGCCATTCCTTCTATTATTTTTCTCACAATCTAGAATTTAGATAAATAAAAGAAAATTTGTGCACTATACTTTCCCAAGTAACTCTCTAAGCTATTATTGATAACATTAGTATTAGAAAATTTGTAAAGAATAGCTTCTTATTTATTAATCATCAATAATTAATGGTAAGCTATACTGCCATAAGTGAGAATTATACCGCGCGGTCTTCACTTTTCATCAGTGTATCGTGTAAATATTGTATGATGTATTGATTTATTACTAATTGTTCCATCTATAGAATAAAAGATATCCTTTCGTTAGGGCGAATCTTTGATGTAGAAGTTCAATATAGAGTATCAATAAATTTGATACATAATTTTGAAAATGATACCTGCTCAGTAGTTGCTAATCTTGCTATATCAGTCAGAGCTCTTATTGTCAGTACGGTTGGCAAGTCCGAAATCTAGAAAAATATTAAAGAATTATCATCTTGCAGTTGCAAGCACATAGATTATGAAAAAATTGATGGAGTAAATGTGTAAGTCTGTACTACGGTATTTATAGTATAGACAAACCTTGCGGGTTGCCGTGAAGATAACGGAGAATAGATCGTGATCGATTATACCCTTCATTTAGTTGTAAAGCGCGATAATTAGACGATAGAGTACAAGTTAATTGTTATGCGCATGATATTGATATACCTGTAATAACATGCTATCCGAACTAGCCAGGCCATATAAAAATTGTAAAGCACTCTGTCAATTCAAATGCATAAATTCGTATAAAAAATGAGTACAATAATTCTAGTCAGTAAATATTCTTAATATTGTATAAGTTGCTATTTCTGACATGAAATTCGTTATGAGTATCTAGAAGTGTTATTTTCAGTACAGGAATCACTTTCAGTCCTATTAATATCTGGTAAAAACAAAAACGTAAATTAATTTTTTACTACGTAGAAATAATTCGAGTTGCATATTTAAATTTTTAATATACTAATACCTTAACATCATGACGATCATCAAATCCGTGAACTAGCAGCACATGTAATATTTCTAGTGCATCTTTCTAGAGTTTAAAAATTTTTCAATTTTCAAAATATTTTGAGCATTATGATCTGATATTTGATAGTAATACCGAATTAAACAATTTTTAGTTCTTACACATAAACGCGGTGATTGACTTGCTAAAATCTCGTAAATACGAACGACAGGTATTTTCTTAAGTGCTGCCTATTGCGTGCAAATAAAATTGCATATAATCACACAAAAAGATAGCAAAGACTCAATTTAACGTGTTGTTATTTGGCTACATGATCAGTATTAGTCTATATCGAAATCATGACATAGTATACTAAACTTTCAATACAACACATTTTCATTCATTATAAATACTGTAAGTAATAGGATGGATATCTAACCATAACTTCTTCATTGGAATGTTGTGATAAATTTGCAATGGATGATGATAAAATTTGATTTTTTTCAGTAAGTAGAGAGTGTAAAATCTTCGTAACTTCAATACATATCTATGGATGAAGAAATTTTATATTACTGTAATTACTAACCCTAAATTAACTGTAACAGATATGATTTGGATGATGCTACCATACATCGATATCGTTTGACTTTAAGAAATCGGACAGAATTGGAATTAACTATAATCGAATGATATGATAATAAGAAAATTAACTTCTAAACTAAATGTCAATTCAATATCTCAATTCGGGATCCACATACGTTGATACTATTGTCTCGCAATGCGACGTAATATTCTCGATCGTCTATATGTACCCCAGGAATGAAAGTTAAGGGTTTGTTCATACACTGTTTTATGGTACGAGCTACACATTGAAGAAATTGCACCTACAATTGATTTATAACAGGAACTGTAATAATTTATAAGTATATTATTACATCTATATAGTGAATGATTGCTATATTTTACCGATTTACCATTATGGATAACAGAAATTGATTTATGGATTATTTCGTAACGTAAGAACAATATCTCGACTAAAAATAAAGATCATACGCAAAAATTTTTACTTACACCGTAATTTTCTTTTCTTAAATATTATATACAATATCATAGAGCCATACATACTTGCATACTCTGCGATAATTTGTAGCGACTTTAGCGCTAAGCCTTCGTACGGTGAAGAGATTAATTCAATTAAGAGGGATATATCAGCTATTAGAATGACATCAAATATGGTATGAAATTAGGATTTCTTAAATTTCTACTGATTGCATTTCTTAAAGCACCAAAAATAATAGTATTACCGATTGATAACGTATTTGGTGTAGGAAGTATTCCTTTCAGTCTCGTAAGTGAGAGTATCATTTTAAGCGATTCTAGTCGTATTTCATAGCTACATAGAAATTGTTATCAATCACGATTTTCTTACATTAATATAACATTGCAGAGTATAATATTATAACCATTTTATTTCAAGTAATCGATTTTTGAACTTACTCATCATGATAACGTAAATTCTTAAAAGTATTAAAGATGAATTCATCACTATGAAGGGAATTTTTAAGCGGTCTTAGAATATAAGCATAATAACCTATGATGATAGAGATACATACTTTCAACTGCACAACTTACTAGTCCGCTTGAGAAATTGTCTCTGTTTCATGTGTTCTGTTTAATCCATAGTTGATGGGCATCATGATTACATTAGAAATAGTAGAGTTATGTTTGTAGTTGATTTAGTTTTACGGTAAAATTTTAAATTATCGGTAGTTTAATTTCGTTATTAATATCATTTATAAGTCTGGCATTCTTACGTATGTAGCATTTAAATCATATTGATATTCATTGTAATACTTTGAATACAGCATAGTAGTATCAAACTATGACAACTTTTATTAATCAAGCTTACGATATTTCGTATTCTTTTTGAACTGTACGATTATTTACAAAGTTAAGTAGAGTAATCGGTAATGAATTAATTGAGATGATAATAGCAATAGGTATTTAGCTTGTTCTTAGTAAATACTGTACATTATTAGGCCAACATGATGAAATAATATTGTTAAGTAATAAATTATTTAGATATATTACCGTGGACTGGAAGATAGCGAGATAGGTTGTAGAATCTACCAGAATATGAAATATAATAACCATAGTAAGTAGAACTCGGCTGAAAGCATTCGTGAATACATATAAATATTGACTATGCTGTGAGATAGAAAATGATAATAAATTAGAGTCAGTTTACCTTGTCTGCATTCGACGTTAGTTCGTATAAATTTTTAATCTTTTCATAAAGACAAATTGATTTATGGGTTGTTAAACGATACGGTTATTTTATACAAGAAATGAAATAGATACTACTAGAATGAGCAGTTAATATACTAATTAATTAGCAGAGATAGATTATTTTTATAGGTAACTATATGATCATATATCGACAGCATTACAATTTAGGTCTCGTGTTGCACTGATCGAACTACATATTATTTACTGTACATGAGGAGCAGCAGTGCTAGTAAGTAGAAGAACAGTTTACTCCATCACGTATGCAAAATCGTAAAGGAAGAGTATACGAGGGCTTTAGTTTCTGTAGAATAATTGATGAACTTATATACTTTCTGGTCTATATAGCCATATTTGCAACTTGCAACACAGAATCTATTTACAAGTGATTTAGATGGAGGCTGTAAATTACTATAAATATAGAAAAATAGCAAAACGAAGAGTTCAGTCTCTACTCACTAATGATTAGATTGATAGACGTGTACGTAAATAAATGTTGATCAACTTTCTACTTACTGATTTTGTATAGTGGAGATACAAACTAGGCAAGTATGATAGATACATGTATGCGATGCAGTTACTTAGTCTAATATTAATTCCAGGAGTGTAGTTTACTATTTATACTTTCCAGTTTCATAGGCAAGGAGTTATCGTTTTTCCTTGCCTATCTACTGTCCATTGACCCTGATTGGGATTAGATTGAACGTAACCAATGAAGCTTTGTAAATCAGTTATTGTTTTATCTAATATACTTAAAGAAGATGGTAATCTTTAATGCCTTATTTTCCGATTTTATATACTACATTCATATGGTACATCTAATAGTCGGATCGTATTCTCCTATTATACCGATAAAGAAGTGAATTAAAGCTAAGTAATCATTTTCATTATGTTTGTTGTGATGTATAGAAGACAAGAAATGAGAAAAAGGTAATCAATGTTGAAGTTATTGTAGTAAAAAATATGAAATAACGTAGGAAGACCGCCATTGCTTACTCGGCTAAATAATCTTCAATATTAAAGGGTAGCAAACAGTGCAATGATAATGTGATCGATTTTATCGCTTTCTGCGTATGATGAAAATTTCAAAATCAGCATGAAATACTATAATCGAGTATCATAGCTATCATTATAAGTATAGGCTGATAATTTTAGAAAGAGGTCTATTTATATTAATAAACACGGAGATCAGAAACATCAAAGTCGTATATCCAAATTAAACAGGTAATCTCTATGATTCGTACTAACGGCTAGCAAGGAATCGTTGACGTAGTAGACATCTTCCTTTTTCAAATCATCAACCGCCATAACTATTTATTGCTCTTCCATAATTATTTACTATATCTATGAAACAATTTCAGGTGTATTCTGGCTTCTTAGCAAAGTTTCTCCACTATTTGCGCTTACTACTGGGTGCTATAAGTAGATTGGGAAAGACGAAGTTTCGATAGCTTGCTTATACTGTTGTACTTAAAACTATTATATTGCATTGTCATATACATGGTGATAGTAGTTGGAGCAAGCGCATTTAAGATGAACTTTTAAATATGTAATTAATTAATTAATTATATATGTATGTATGAGTCTCGCTGTCGTAGATTTACTATAGCTATGGTCTTTATTTGTTTATGTTTGCAATAAAGTATATATTGACTATTATTATCCGTATATGCAGTAGAGCATGATCTATAGAACTGTAAAATGGCAAAGTACCGTATAGTATTTTCGGCTTGGGCATTTACAAAATCATTGATTATCTAAACGATCCGTATCTATATAGCCTATTGTTACAGCTAATATGAGAAAGTAAATAATACCGAAATTATCCGGATAGCAAAGATATTAAATGCCAATTCGTATGTTAATCAATATTGTCTAATGTCCATGTATGCAGTAGTGCATATTATGTAGTAGTAAAATGACGAAGTACAGGACAGTGTTTTGCATTTTTTAATGATCAAATTATTATAATTATTTATTGTCTAGTGATCCATATTATGTATACAGCATATACATTGACTATGTAAGTATAGGTGCATGTTCTATAGTAGTAAAATGGCAGAGCATAATACAATATTTTCCTCGAACATTGTGCAAAATGATCGATTATCTGATGATCCATATCTTTTACATATTGACCATAGAGGCATAAATGCATGTTAGTGCTAAAACGATACAGTACAAGAGATCAGTCATTTTGCAAAATGCCTAAATCATTTAGGCACCCAATATAGTTTCTAGATGTAAATTAATTTATTTGGAAATATTTAATAAATAATGCAAATATTCTTCCGGTTAAAACCTTTTAGATGTCGAAAAATGCTCTGAGTAGCCCAGCCGTTATTCGCCATATCTTTCTTCCTCCTAATTATCCCACTTTTACAATTTATACGATCACGGAATTATACTGATACTTTTATGGGTAAATACTAATTACCAAATTTTGCATTAAATTTGCAATTAATGGTGGAATTTAAATATGTACAAATTACAAAAATTTCAGCATATAATTAATGCATAATTACGACAAAGTCATTAATTTTATAAAGAATCACTAGCTGTTTTTCATCTAATAAGGTAATTTTAAAAACTACAGATAGTAAATAACGCCCTAGCTGGACACATTTTACAAATAGTTTAACATCGTATTAGTTGATAGCGTATGTACTCATGATGCTGGATTATCTATTGAATGGTCAGACTCCTATAATAGTTCCCTTATTATATCAGCACAGCAGTATATTAATCATAATCGAAATCATTGCTACTGTATCCATTTTATGGTCTGTCATATACATAATGTACTGTAGTAGTGTGCGGCATCAATAGACAAGCATTTGCCACTAGAAGTTATCGAAAATTAATGATCTTGGAGGAATAATTCGAAACTGCCACAAGAATTATCATGATGTTAGTACTTAGCTTAAAAGTAAAGTTATATACTATAAATCGTAAATTAATAGATCTACTTCATTCTAACGAAAGTGATTATTAATTGTAAGATTTTGGTAGTAATCTTGTATATTTATATTGTTTTTGCTATTTCACAGTAGCTCAATTATAATAAATTACGGGCTAATTGTCACAATTTCGCAAGATATATGATAAAACATTTTTGAAATTTATTATTGCTATGGTCTCATAATTCAATATGAAAATAATAGAGAGCAACTTTCATAAAATAAATTGTGATGGAATAAAGTTAAAACCTCTGATTAAGCTTATTTTACAACTAATGCACTACCATATCACATACGGGTACAGTGCAGATGTTATATTACAGTACAAGTTAATAAAAATCTGATTCGAAGTAGATTTTAAAATCAAAACTTATGATAAAATTAGTTTGAATACTTTGGATATATACATGTATAATAGAGTAATAAATTTGATAAGTATCATTAATGTCCCTTAAAATATTATAACAGTTTTCAAAGTTGACAAATTTTAAAATTTCTAGCCTACTTCCACATTTTTAGGTAGCTATCAGTGATACAGTAGGTACATTATTATTGCAGTAAATATTAATTTTTTTACTTTTTCTTACTTTTAAGATTCAATAAACGAACAAGTTGGTTTGCTGGTTGTAATACCGTTGAATGTTGAGAAAATTCAATACGTATCATTTCGAGTTTGGGTAGTACTAAAATAATAATATAAGCTTATTTATATTTTATAATTCAATATTTAACGTACACGTACGTATATAACTGCTAATGCACCCTTCCGTGTTTACTCATTTCGTTATAGATATAGTCATAATCAATTAGAAAAATTTACCTTTAGCTTTATTATTTTCGAATAATTCTGGTGATTGCTGTCATCACGATTATAAGAAGAGAAAAATATAAATATTTCTTATTTTCAAAAGTTAATTCCATAGGGTATACCGTGACAAAACATTCAAGCAGTATCGTATTTATTAATACTTTCGCTTTCCTAACGCAATTTTCTATAACTTTACGATACCTTGCTTTTTTTGACAAGATCTGCTATTCCTTGTATCGTTGGTCCTAAAATCTATAAAGTTTAATGATTACTATATTTTTATAGTCACTTGTTAGCCGATGCCATACACAATTTTTGATACTGTAGTATTGATGTGGAAATTTTGTTCGGGAAGTTTCTTCAATACTACAATTATAATGGACTGAAAAGCTGCGCTATCATAATATCAATCATGAATCGTACCTCATATTCTTCGTTTGTCATCAGTGTTTCAAATAAATGCTGTATTACGTAGTGATTTTCAGCTATTTGTTTAATCTGCAAAAGAAAAGCGATTATTCCCTTAAAATAAATTCTTTATACATGCATTGTGTAAGTAGAGTAAAATAAAAATTTTAGCATAATACCTGTGATGCAGTTGCTGATCTAGCCGCACAAGCAATCGTCCTTGTTATAAGAATATTGCGGTATTTTGAAATCTGCAATATCAAATATCTATCGTCACAAAGTGTGTAGACCACATAAATATTAAAAGATGACTGTGTAATATTGATGTACAAACCCTAGGCATTCCACGAAGGAGAACTGAGAACACATCATGATCGATTACACCCTTCATTTGTATATAATCATTATATTTAATTAATCTGTTTATTGAAAGATAAGCTGATCAAAGCATACGTCATACGGTGCATACCTGCAATAATCTACTATTCACGCGGATTACATTAATCAGAAGTTTTAAAGTATTCTGTTAAATATAATTTCACATCAAAATATGTACTGTAAAGGGCAAATAATAATAGTAGCAACATGCCACATATATATTTTTATTTAGTATTTCTTTGGGTACCGTAATAACATCGAACTCGCAGGTGTTGTTTAGAAGGATTGCTTTCAGTACAGGGATCAGTTTTAACCCTATCAGTATCTAATTAATACCAAAAAATGAAATTTTTTCATTATTTAATTTGCTACTTTGGATAATTTTACAACATTAATTGGTAACTGGTGCCTAGAGGTATTTCTCAGTACATGGGTTAGTTTCAATCCACTATTACCTAATTAAAACAGGAAATTAAATATTAATCATTCAATTTATTGTAAAATAAAACGAACTGAGCCTAATTTACTCTCCATAAATTTTGAAGCACGGTACCTTTACTTCTTGGTGGTCCTTACGCTGCGACATTAGTACATCTAAAAATCCTAATCCAGCAATCTAAATTTTATTAAGATGTATATAATTATTTCATATCTTTTCAGATAAAATATTGATCAAATAGCAATAACTGAGAAAATTTTAAAATAAACTTTAAATTGCTACAGATCTTTGGAAAAAAGATTTACAAATATTTAGTATCTCTACAGATCAAATATCTAGTAGTACAGTAGTAACGAAAAAAACTTTAAAAACGGACTCAAATTTCTTACACGTAAATGCGGCGATTGACTTGCTACAATTTCAAATATGCAGATAATAGGCGTTGTGTTAAACGCTTCCTATAAATCATAAAAAAGGAAGGCAAATTTTCAATTTCAAGATACTTCACTTTCCTTAAGCAATGAGTATTACTTAATCTTGTGATAGATTGACAGAGAAAGTCAATCTTTCGTATAATATATTATTTACTTAATCTAAATCTTTAAGTAATATTATGTGTGCCTCACCATAACTTTTCCATCTGAATATCGCGATGCGTTGTCTATTATAGATGATGATAAAATATCTCCTTTTTCAATAAATAGCAATCGTAAAACTTGTATAATTTCTCTATAAATCTGTTAGAAGGAAACAAATATAAATGTTATCCTTGTAAATAAGCAATGAAAGTTTCTTTTACTATACTTATGAGTAAAATATATATATACATAAATACCTTGATATCGTTTGACTGTAAGAGAGTGGATATTATACTAGTCAGCTGTAATTGAATGATTCACATCGGTATTAAGGAATGTCGGACAAGTAAAACTTTTATATAATATCTTCATTTATATAGCAGTGTATTGCCGTACGTCAATAATATTATCTCGCAATGCAAGACAGTATTCTTGATAATCCACAGAGAAATGATAGTGCAAGCACTTATTTAAGGTATAAATTAAACCCTTAAGAAATAATACCTAAAGAATGTAAAAGATTTTCAGCGTCATATTAATAACTAAAGTACATGTTTAATGTATACCGTATTATAGGTAATTGCTTAACTTACCGATTTGCCGCTATACATAGCGGAAAGTAGTTTGGGGATAATCCCATAGTTTAGAAATAATATGTCGTCTAAAAATTAGAAATTGCATGACAGCGGTCTATAAATACCGATGCATATGTGTATGTCTTGTACTACTTAAGTGTAGAATGTCATAAATGATTTACTTACTTGCATAAGCCGCAATAACCTTCAAAGATTTTAATGCCAGTTCTTCGATAGGTGATAATATTAGTTTAAACAATAGGGATATATCCGCTAGAGAATGACATACATAACGAATACCTTAAATATCTCAAATTTTTAGCTTAATTTTCTGCTAATACGTGTGTTTTGAGCATGGAAACACAAATACTTAAAGAGTATTAACTTGCCCATTGATATGGTCCTTGGATTAGTAGAAATTCCCTTTATATGGAGAATAATTTCGATCGTTTTAAGCAATACCATTCGTTGCTCATAGCTACAATGAACATAGCCATTAATGTTCAACTATAAATATGTAATTTAGGCTCGACATAATGAATAATTAACTTACTCATCATGATGATGTAAATTGCTAAATATTTCAATAATAAGTCTGTCGCTGCAAAGGAAAATATTTAAAAGGTATAAGAATTAAACTAAAGCAAAATGGGTCATTAAATTTAGCATGCGTATTTCATTTCGTAAAAGTTTTAATGTCAACAAAATATCCCACCAATTAGCTTGAGAAATTGTCTTTCCTCCAGATATTCTTTGTTAAATTGACAAAACAATAAACGTATAAGTAGGATTATGTCGAGTAGTCAATTTTTAGGTTATATAATGATTCTATTAATACCTAAAGTGCATATGAATTACCACAACTATAACTATCATATTTATCTGTCCCTTGCAACATTTTAATTCATTCGATAGCATAAATGCTCTTTCCTGATAATCATATAATTACACATTATGAATGTTGAATTCAATATACCGTAGTAATAAAGTACGATAACTTTAATGGAAAATAATCATTGTCATTCATACAGGTTATTCGTGCACTTATTGCTAGATCTGTGACAGCTTACTAAAATATTATGAAAATATAACTACCTTACATCAATGTAAGCGTAACCTAAGTCTAGCCACTAATTATTTTAGCTGATTCTCACTGATTTATGATGTACGATTATATTGATAAGTAAGATATCATGTACGGTGCTCATCAACTTACATATCATTTAAAGAATGAACCTGGCTGGAGGGCAGTAACATGGACTGTAGGATCTACGATAATGTATGCAAATAAAATTAATAAGATTAGGCTCCTGTAATGGTCGCTTAAAGCCGCAAATAAATCGTATTGCATTTGAGTATCATACTTTACCTTAACTATTTTCGATATTGGATTATCTAAGTCATCCATCTATGATACAAAGAAGTGCATTAACTAGCAATAAATTGGATGAATTTTGTCGATGAACTCAAAAATAGATGAATGCATCATATAATATTTGAAATAATAATCAGTTCAAGACTGTCAGAGATAATGATGCTACACTTAATGAATGGGGTTAAAGTACCGCTGGTAAATGTTAATTTTTAATAGTAATTGGAACAGGAAAGTAGGCGATTACCATTACTTATCGCCTTGACGTCGATTATGGATAGTAATTTGATCATCAGGAATATCTTTGTTAAGGCCTGGCTCAATGATTAGGCCCTGTGTAATTCATTTTCAAATGGTAAGGTTACTACTGATTGAAAATTCACGAGGAAAGAGTAGATTCAGAGTTAAAACTGCCCTATATTGGGCAAACTTATGCATTCCATTTTCATTAATAATCAACGATCATTTATTTCTAATTACCTGAAGTCTATAAACTTTGGTTTAGAGCATCCGGTTAATCGCAACTTATGATCAATGAATTTATAATTAACAGGCAGATTTATGCTTGGCTGTCAAGTAAGTATAATTTTGTTACGGTGTTATCTTACCGTTAGGATAGTTTAATATGTACAGTAGTAGTAGTAGCTAGTATGGAAGATATTCATATTTGTAGTGCTAGGTAAGGTAAGTAATGCCTTAATAAGGATATTATTTGTGGTTGTTTATTACATATTAGATATTGATTGCTATTATGTGTAGATAGTAGTAAGATGAATCAAGTTCTAGCTATTGATAGTTGAATTAGATAACATACATGCTTAGATTAAGATTAAGTATGAGTAAGAGATTTAAAATATTTACTGATAGAAAAGCGATGTTTCGAATATCTCAGCTCGAGATGCCTCTCCGAGAAAGGTATAATAAAAATACTGTTGTTGTCTACAAATTACCGGTTTCTATATAAATGGGAACGTTTGAGTTGAGTTGGATGGTGAAAAGTTGTAAATATGTCTATGCTAATAAAAGTTCTATCTTTACGGTACTACGCTGAGTCTGTTCAACGTTTAGTAAAGAACGTTTAAGTCAGTAGTTACTTAAAGACTTTTACTGTACGTTTCCTTGTCGCAGAGTTGAAATTGTGACAGATTTACTTCAATGATAGTAGAGGCGATCAATCTACTTGTGACTATACAACCTCCATTGGCAAAGCCAATCGTAACAGTAACCTGTTTTAGCTGTTAGTAAGCTATTAAGAACTAATCATTTTTGGGGTAAAAGTTAGTATAGAAATTATCAAGGTACTGCAATCTACGCACGGATAGTTTGGAATTAAAAAAAATGAGATCAATATTTAGGCCATAATTTTATTACAGTGGTCCCTAACGGAAGGTGCTACAATTTCTGCTCCCTTTGGCCTTAGAATATCGAAAGTATAAGCAATACTGTATAGTGCAAACACCGGTACGCTATGATTTCCATTACAGCAGCTGATTTTAAACTGCAATATAACTGTGATGATGGCGACGTTAACTGTGATATCTTGACAGCAGAAAGCGAACATATACGTGTTATTAGTGTATATGTTACGTATATAGTGTATTTAGCTACATAAAATATTGCATCACTCTTATATCAATAACGACAGCAATGATCTTGTAACTAAATGAAGAATTTCTTTAAATCGTTGTCTAGTGTATCACCTAGAAATCATCGTAATAAGTCGGTAAGATCGATACTTTTACTTACATTAACTTATCTTGAGACTTGTGTGAAGCAGATTAACTTTTCTAACTTGTTCAGGCAATAAGTCTTTAACGTTACTTTTTAAGAGTTACAGTATGCCAAACTCACGACCACTACGACACTGACCAAATTTTTTGACTCCTTACAGCCTAAATAAGGAATCTGATTACAAGTAAATGAATAAGAACATCGTTTAAAGCTACTCATAAACTTTAGTAAAGAAGACGAAACGCATTTTGAATCAGATAGACGACGTTATTTCTGTCCTAAGCAGATGCCTACGACATAACTGAGCAGCCTCTTTAAAGGATGGATTTCCGGTAATATTTTTCTTTTAGTAGCTGCCCTGCCTCTTTATGATAGTTTATATATATATGTTTTGTTCTTTGTTTTACTACTCTAGCTAGTAATTACGATGCCTATCGTGTATGGCAATTAATATTAATTACTAGGAATAGAGTACAGTTATTGAGCGGGCGCTATGATCAGCGTACTTGGACTATCTCCGGTATGAAATAAGAGAATTCCAATACAAGGTCAAGTGGCTGTTGATATCCTTAAAACTTTTGCATAATCGACTCGATGTTTCATAATTTCGCTAAAAGTAAGGATATATCGATATATCTATTCATTCTATGCTACTACACTGTATCATTATCAGCAAGGGCTTACTAGGTTAATCTAAAATTCAGTAATTCGCTTTCTATTACGAGTGGTAATGGGTAAATTGATGACCTTGAGAACTATAATTAGCCTTAAAGTAAAAGTAATTGAAAACTTTACTGGTCTTGATTGTTGATGAATTGTGCAGAAGTAGAATAAAAGAGCTGCAAAGGCTATTGTGTAATATTATCAGTTTAAAAATTATGGCATCAATTATAAAGTAATTCTATCCGGAAGCTATGTCATACGTAATTAGTCAGCGCTTCAATTAATAAAATAATGATCCAAGATTGGCTAGATAGTGTAATGAGGAACCTTTGCTAGTCTTAATTGTTGATGAATTGTACAGAAATAAAAATAAAAGTGCTTAGGCTATAGTGTAATGTTGTCAGTTTAAAAATGATATCAATTATAAAGTAGTTTTACTCAGGAAGCTATCTCATACGTAATTATTCAGAGCCTATGAGTAATAAAATTATGATTTAAAATTGGCTAAATCTCAGAAGTAATGAGCAACCTTTGCTACTGTAGTCTTGATTGTTGATGAGTTGTACAGCTACAAAAAATAAAAGAGCTGCAAAGGCTGTAGCATAGTGGTTTCAGTTTAAAAATGATACTATCAATCATAAAGTAGTTTTATGCAGGAAGCTATATCGTACGTAATTATTTAGATATTTACTTAATTTGATTAAGTAGTTTTAGTAACACGGAAGATGGTCTGCTGGCCTTAAAAGACTGGTCAATAAGGATTGCACCAATTCATGATAGAAAATGTTAGTATTACAGCATAAATGAAGATTGATCTGTTCCCTTTTAGCCTAGAGTTAGGGTACGATTTACCTTGACTACCAAGGAAAACCGCTGCAATGTATTATCCTTCATGAAGGAATGAAATAAATATTCTGTCAAAACAAACAGTAGAAGGTACGATAGCGCAAAGATAGCGAATATTGAGAAACCAACAGGAAGTCTAGCATTTAAGTTTATACTTGATCATGACATTAAGCAATATTAGCAAGAAAAGGTTACAAGGTCAGTTAAAACTACGGCTCTATTTTAGCCCGCTATCTTCAGTACCACAATCTCCTCGGTATCGTCCTCCTCAATATTAACATCTCTATCGTAATCGCAAGATGATGATAAATCATCGCCTTGGTGAAAGTTAAAAATTGCCATGTTAAAACCATGAATATCTGTATCCGAAGCTGTCGAGATCATACTTGTTGTCTTGGAGGTCGTAAAATAAATATAATTGTGT